TAACGCAAGAACACGGGGAAAATAAACGCTATCGGTTGGATCGATGGTCAAAAGAAGAGCAGCTATTCAAAGTGCCAAAATGAGTCTTTAAAAAATACTTACACGTATAGAATCAAATTTCACGAAGTCTAAAGTCTTGAATTCCTCGATAGGTGGTCGAACATACTGACAATATCCAGCGTTTTTTACCAGCTGAAGCTGCTGCACGCAAGAAACATATGCTAAACGACTCTGAAAATATTTCTGCATCACAGACACATTCTGCGACGTTTTCACAATGCCACCTTCCTGGCTGATTTTTCCGCTCTTATTGTATCTAATAAATTTGCAACAGCGTTAAGAGTTACCTGTATTTCCTCCATATTTAAAACTTTGACGGATTCCGCAAAAGGATTGAGCTTCCTTAATAACACCCAAAACCCACTCAATGAATCACCATAATTATACAGATTTGTTTCAGCAGCTGAACCAACATCAACTGCGATCACTATTTTAGCGCCCATCGATCTGAAAAGCAATCCGATGATAAATAAGTAGATAAAAAATAGTAAATCATGTGAATGATTTAATAATGAAAAAATGATTGGCCAACGCACGGGCTGCCCGTGCGAAGATGCGTTTTTTTGCATAGTTTCCCACAGATTTTTGTCGCTAACGGCACTGTGTTTTCCGGCAGATGATTCTAGCTAAAAGAATTTCAGACAGGCCGCCAGAACTTTCAGGAAGTATCTTTTAAAAATTCCATTCTTCTAGCTTCTCAGGTTCCCGAGTGAGCAACTTACCCGAAAAAAAATTCATGAGCCCGTACATGAGAACCACTCACACTCTGGGCTAAGCATGAGCTCATTAATACCTACGTAGATAGGGGACATCCCATTAAAATTGTAGTCTTCTAATTTTCTCTCGAGTTAGCGACTTACCCGAAAAAAAACTTCGCAGGCCCGTACATGGGTACTACGCGTATGCGGAGGCTGGGTTTGAACTCATTAGGGTTTACATGGGCGGGAAACGTCCTCTTAAAGTTCCAGTTCTCTAGCTTCTCAGTTTCCCACGTTAGCAACTTATTCGAAAAAAACTTTGGCGGGCCCGTGCGTGGGTACCACGCATACCCAGTGCTTAGGTTTGAACTCATTGAGATTTATGCAGACAGAAAACATTCCCTTAAAATTACAGTCCTTCTATTCCTTCGGTTTACCGAGTTATCAGTTTACCTGAAAAAAACTTTGGCGAGCCCGTGTGTGGGCACCACGCATACCCGAGGGCTGGGTTTGAACCCACTGAGACTTACGTGGACGGGGAATATCCACCTGAAATTCCCGCTTTCTAGCTTTTCTGGTTCTCGAGATAGTGACTTACCCGCAAAGAACTTTTATAGGCCCGTACGTGGGAACCACGCGGGTACGAGCGTCCATTTTGGGGATTGGGGCCCGCACGTGCATACAGATTAAGTTCCCAAAATTTCAGCCCTGTAGCTTTTGTAGGTCTTGAGATGAAAAACTATGACAGAAACCCAGCACACATACAGACACACACACAAAGACAACCGTTCGTCAATATGCGTTTTCTGCATTGCATAACTGCAAAAAACGCATAAAAAATGAACAAAAAACAACTAAAACCGACCAAAGCGGTTGAGTAATCGGCTAAAAATAATTCAAGCTTTATAATCGATGGTAAAAATATATACGACTAACTGCATGACATCCGCCGGCAAATTGTTGACATAACCACCGTCCAGCAGAAGATGGCCATCCACCGGATCACAG